CCCCCCCACACTCTTTGAGTAAAAAAAAATATAATGAGACTATCCAAGACTTCAACCCGTCTAGATGACCACTTATTTCCTCGACTATGGGTATCTGTATTGGACTATGTTGACTGCAGCTCGCCTTTAAAAGTATCCCTGATCATGATTGTTTGTTTGAATAAAGAGAAGCACATTGACACAAAGGGGACCATTTAATGTTTGGGAAAAAAGCTTGACAGAGCGTCAAAAACAAAAAAGGAACATTTAAGAATGTAGAAATACCAACGGCACCCGTCCAACACTCTCATGACGATACGTCTCTATACATGTTTTCTTTCGTTCTATTTCTCTGAAAGTATAAACATAAAATGACATTTTTAACACAAGAATTGTCAGGACATTGAACCAAAAAAAACCCAACCCACCCCGGAATTGTTACGTCGTGCTTTACTATCGTATCCATAGGACGCGTGGAACTCTGTGCCACCACTGTCCTAAGAGGAAATTTACTCGTTAGTCCGATCCATACGCTTTGCGCAGCAGTATGTCAAAATGATTTTTTTGAGAAATACTGAAAGTTTTAAAGAGATCGTCAAGCTTGAAGTATTCTAAAATGTGAAGAATACAACCCCTGGGAACAAAATGACCCCAGGGCGTACTGGTAGGGTTAACCTGGCTTTCACCCACGTATAGCAACAGCATTAATTTCATTTCGGCGTACGTAAACGCTTGGTGGATACAGTCACCTGTTCACGAAACGTCACTACTCAAAAAACAATGAGGCAAGGTAATTTCAGGGACCTTCGCAACTCTACGTGATAAATCACGTTTTTTCTACACATACTTGTATCCATTCGGGTCACCCAGACGTCTTGAGGGTACCTAGTCCAACCCTTGATCAAACTCTGACGCAAAGCGATAATCATGACAACTCATCTAATCTATCTATCTATCTATCTATCTATCTATCTATCTATCTATCTATCTATCTATCTATCTATCTATCTATCTATCTATCTATCTATCTAT